TAGATTAGTCCTTAATTATTAGCTTTGGTACACTGCATGGACTGACCATGGACAAAAAAATAACTAATTTTCTTAAGGGATGTAATTTAATTGAAAGGGTTTTATAATTAGAGACAGAGGAAGTATACATAAGATTGTTAAGTTTTGGATCCTTTAGGGCATAAGTTTTAATGATAACAAACTCAAACGTTTTTCAAAGGAAATATTTTTTTAGATCTTTCAAAGACAGATAGTAATAAGATGATTGGTTATTTTGATATTTAGTCTCATATATGAATCACTTCGTCTATAAAGCAAAAACATTTAATATATATCATTTATGATATCTGATAACTAAATCATGTATGTTATTCCTTAATAGATTGAAAAGAATATGAAAAGCTTATTTAGTACTCAAACTATAAAAAAGGAACACAAGACATGTTTTGCACCATAAAAGGCAACCAAATCCATTGAAGCATGCAAATGATCAGGATAAGTTGTTTTTAATTAACACACGCACAAATTCCTCTCTTTTGGTGCCTAAAAGGTGATAAGTAACTTTCTTGATTAGATAAAAAGTGATAATTTGGTGAAACACATTTATTGCTCACATTTAATGTACCAACAGACACTTCTCTCAACAAGGAACGAAGATGAAATCAAATGAAACAGACCTGTAAGAGATACTTAGGTTATTAAAGTCTAGAGAGACTTTGTATTGAAAGAATATTTGGGTAGTCGCTTAAAGAGATAAGTCAAAGAGCACTTAAGTTGATCCACATGTGGCTTATGAGAGAATACTTATATCTTTATAAAAAATAGTACAACTTGATTGAGTTGATCAAAAACTGAAAGTAATCTCAGAGGTTGAATCGAACCAATATAAAAATATTATGTATTCTTTTCTCTTTATTATTCATCTGCACCCATAAAGTCTTGATACAACTTCAGTGTTTTCAAAAAATGTCTTTTTTATTAACACTATTCAATCATCTTCCAGTGTCTTTCTTTTCTCGACAAAGACTATATTCAACTTAAACACTTTTATTCTTTTTATATTTTTGTAAAATATTCAAACAATTAATTATGTTATCTCAATATAAAAATAATAATTTTATAAACAAATATAATTTTAACATACATAAAAATGAGAGTAACTCGTGCAAATGTGCTGTTATAATTGTTAATGTATGTATCCATGTAACACATGTTGATAGATACATTTTATTGTGTATATAAAAAATAATATAAACATTTAAGTTAAAATAAAAAGTTTATTATTTTTAATTATATTTAATATGATTAAAATAAAAAATTTATTATTTTTAATTATATTTAATATGATTATAATATGTTTAAAACAATATAATTAAAATCAAGATAAAACAGTAATAAGATTAGTGAAAAATGTCTACATTTGGATGAAGTTAAAATTTAAACTACTCTAAAATAACAATATTTACTATTTTTTTTAAAACAAAAACTTAGCTCATATCATTAAGAATATCATGAATGATACAATTAGTGATGTGAAAAAAATCATAAGGATTTGCACTATCTATTACTGCTTTAGCAAGTTTGTGAGCAACAATATTGGCATATCTAAGGGAGAAACTTACATGAGAGTTTGAGGGGTTAACCATAATAGGCTTACATTGGTCAAGAAGGCAACCAAATTCAGTTATGTCAATAGAGTGGTCATTGGAGAAATAGGAAGAGATACGATTACAATCTGTTTCAAAAATAGTATTCTCCAAGTTCTGGTTATGGGTCCAGTTGATAGCATGAAGAAAAACAAAGGCTTTACCAACATGGGGCTCCATACAGCCTTCGATAGTGGTTGAACGAGCTCTAATAAAGGCACCTTGATAGTCTCTAATGCAGATACCTATTCCGGTAAGCCCTTCCACCAGAAAGGAGTGAGTGACAATGTTGCACTTAACCGACCCTTGGGGAGGAGGGGGCCATCGTTGTCTAGATGGAGGTTTAGAGTGCTGAACCAGAGCAGCTTTATTAGTAGTGGCCCAATCATGAAGCATGGAGGAGGCACGAAGGTTGATCTCGTTTTGGTTCCATGGAGTGTTACTCCAATGCAAAGCATTCTAGCTGTGCCACATGCTCCAAAGAATCATGGAAAATTCTGCAGTAGCTTGAGGAGTCCAGTGCTGCAAAATATGAGATATAAGGTTAAAAACACCATCAAAAGAGTTAATCAAGTTCATGATGCGAGAGTGGAATTTACTTCCCTACCAACACAGCTTGGCTGATGGACAGCTAAAGAAAGTGTGCCAGGTGTTTTCAATATCAATATTGCATCGAAAGCATGTATTGGGACATCGAATGCCTTTCTTTTGAAGGTTAGGCCGAGTGGGAAGGATGTCCCGCATCAATCTCCATATGAAGTGCTTAATTTTGTGGGGAATGCATTGATTCCAAATGTTTTTCCATGGACCAGGAACACTAAGATGACTCATGTAGAGGCTATGCTGGAGATATCCTTTATAGGTAAAGCGAACAGTATAAAAACTAGAGGGATTACAGTTCCAGATGCGTTTATCTTCACAATGTGGGTTGAGGATAGGAATGTTGAGTATATAGTTGCTAGTGTCCGTGTCGAACAGGGAGTTAATCAAATCAGCGTTCTAATGAAACTTATCGTTGCTTATCAGATCAGAAACTTTAAAAAATTGGCTGTTTGAGGGGTCATGAGGATGAATACAATGGTAATTATCATTGTATTTGATCCGAGGCTCGCCCCAAATAGGAATGTTATTCCCATTCCCAAGCCTCCAATGAATACCATTCTTAAGAAGATGTTGGGTGCACCAAAGACTTTTCCAGGTGTAGCTGGGGTTGTGACCTAGTGGAGCATTGAGAAAGTTACCTTCGAGGTAGTATTTGGCTCGGCAGATTCTACTGATCAGAGAGTTTGGGTTGGTAAGAAGCCTCCAAGCTTGCTTACCAAGCATAGCAAGGTTAAAGGTAGATAAGTTTTTGAAGCCAAGTCCACCCTCAAGTTTGGAAATGGCAAGCTTTTCCCAATGCATCCACTTAATTCCTTTGTGCATATTTGAATTTGCACCCCACCAAAAGGCATTTAGTAGTCTCTCAATCTCATCTATGGTGCGAGAAGGAATCAAAAAGACACTCATAGCATATGAAGGGAGAGCCTACAAAACAACCTTGATGAGGGTCTCTGTACCTGCCTTAGATAACGATTTGTGGCTCCAAGACTGTAATTTTTTCCATATACGCTCCTTGATAAACCTGAAAATTTCATTTTTATTTCGTCCAATCATAGATGGGAGTCTAAGGTAATTACCAGTGGTCTCACAACTCTGAACATGTAGAATATTTGATAATAGATTATGAATAGTAGGAGGTGCATGTCTGTTCAGAAACACTTCGGATTTATCATAGTTTATGGCTTGGTTAGAAGCTGTCTTAAAGGTTTTCATAGAGCTGTCAAAATGGGCTTGGCCCGGTGAGCCAACCCGGCTCACCACGGGTTCGAGCCGGGTTGGGTTAAAATTTTTTTGAAAATTTCAATGCGGGTTAAATTTGAACCCAGCTCACTAACAACCCGGCTCACCCGGGTTGAACCTGTGGTGAGCCGGGCTGGCTCACCAACCCGGGATTAAATTTTTTTTTTTGTTGAAAAAATACAATAATTATTGGGTCATGGTACAGTCCAACATGAGACAATAATAATTTAATGTTGGATTGTGATTTGTAATTTTTATGATTTTGAATTGTATTTGAAGTTTAAGATGATTTTGGATTATATTTATCTATTTGAGATTATTTAGATTTGATTGTATTTAAAATTATCATTTAATGTTTGGGATGAATGATTCATTTATGGATTTCTTAATTAAGAATCTCATATTTTTAAAATAAGTTTAAATTGTTGGGCTTTAGTTGTATATTAAGAAGAAAAAAAATGAAAAAAATTATTTTTTTTAAAGGTGAGCCTACCCGTTTAACCCACCAACCTGTGGTAGGCCGGACCGGGCTCGATTTTTTTGAACTCACTGATAAATGAGCCGGGTTGGGTTGGCCCACCAAATGGCCAACCCGTGGTGGGCCGGGCCGGGCCGGGCCGGGTAGCCCATTTTGACAGCTCTAGGTTTTCAGAATGGAAGCAACCTTATTGGTCTCTTTCTCAGTAGCTTGGAAGAAAAGGAATACATCATCCGCGAACATGAGATGATGCATTTTGGGAGCACCATGACAGATTTGAATACCTTTCAAGTTACCAAGAAGTTCAACTTTATGAATAAGGCTGGATAATCCTTTCATACTTAGAATGAAGAGGTAAGGGGAGTAGGGGTCTCCTTGTCGGAGACCTCTACCCGGAATAATGGAGCCGACGCGATTGCCATTAAGGAGGACCTGAAAATGAACAGAAGTGATACACATCATCATCCAACTTACCCATTTTTTGTAGAAACCAAATCGCTCCATGATGCAACGCAAATAATTCCAGGAAAGCCTGTCAAAAGCCTTGCTTATGTCGATCTTCAAAGCTTCTTCGTGTTTAGTTTTCTTCCCACTACAACGTAGATAGTGGATAGCTTCATTCGCGACAAGCACATTATCCGTGATAAGCCATTCTTGAACAAAAGCAGCCTGCTCAAAAGAGACACACTTTTGGAGAAGAGGTTTTAGCCGATTTGCTAAAGCTTTCGGAAGTATTTTATATATCACGTTACAAAGAGATATTGGTCGAAGTTCTTTCATGTTAGATGGGTTAAGACACTTTGGGATCAAAGCAATCACTACATCATTGATGTGTGGAGGAAGTTCACCCACTTTGAGCCATGAGTTACAAGAGGAAAGAATGTCTTCACCACAAACCTCCCAAAAGCTTTTGTAAAAACCAGGATTAAAACCGTCAGGCCTAAGAGCTTTGTCTTTGAGCATCTGAAAAAGAGCCGTAGGAATTTCATCTTTTGATAAGGGTGTTGTGAGTTGCTCATTATCAAGTTGGGAGATCTTACAGCCCAAGGTATCAGTTACAAGGTGAATCTCCCAGGAAGCGTGTTAAATAGGTCCTGGAAGTAAGAGCATGCAAGGTTACCAAGTTCAGTAAGGGTGGAGTGTTTTTTACCTTCAGAGTCATAAAGAGTGGAGATATGATTTTTCTGACGACGTATGTTCACCGCTGCGTGAAAATTTTTTGTATTGGAGTCCCCTTCTCTTAACCAGAAAGTTTTAGCACGTTGACTCCAATAAGAATCCATGCTATGAAGTTGGTGGCTGAGTTGGTGTTGTAGCTGAAAGTATAGACTCCACTCAGTACTACCCTGAGCGTTTTTGCATTTTTCCATATCACGCTTAAGGATATCAATATATTTACACAAGTTGACATGCTTTCGTCTACCCCAAAGACAAAGATATCTACCACAAGAGATGATCTTATTCTCGACACCTTTTTTGTTATGATAGTTCCAGCCATATCTAACAGCACGATCGATATCTGGATCTTCCATCCAAATATTCTCAAAGCGAAAATACTTATGCAGAGGATTAGAAAGGTTAGCATCAAGCTTGAGAGTAATAGGATAGTGATCGAATTTACTTGCTACAATGTTTGATAGAAGGTAGTTAGCAAACAAATGACACCAATCCTTAGTAACAAGCGCTTTGTCTAGCCGTTCTTCAACCAGGTTATTTTGGAGGTTTCCTTTGATCCATGTAAATGGATGACTAACTAGGGGAAGGTCCTCTAAGCCGCAATCCATCGTGGCTTGACAAAAACCCTAGATCAAATAATGGGGATGAGGATTCGTGCCTTTTTTGTCGAAAGATAATAGTATGTCATTAAAATCCCCAATAATACACCAGGGGAGGTTTGAGAGAGAGGCAAGATGTCTAAGCAGGTCCCAAAAGTCTTTTCTTTTATGTCTCTCAGGGTAACCATAAAACCGGTGAGCCTCTAATAATTGTCGTTTTGATCTTTAACATTAGCGTTTATGTAATTAGTATTGGCTTAAGTAATAGTAATATCGAAGGTATCTTTCCAGAGAAGAGCGAGCCCACCTCCACGACCAATCCTATCAACAACAAACTAGTGGTTGAAATTCAAGATGTGACACAGATCTTTGATTCTATCAGAGTTGACCATGGTTTCGCTCAAAAAAGAGTATATCAGGCTTATATGAGCGGGTAAGGTCCCATAATATCGGAATTGCACGCTTGTGCCTGATTTCGCGACAATTCCAACTTGTTATACTCATAATTCCTAGCAGCCCTGAGTGCTAGGGATCGTAGATAAAAAAGTCAGATTGTTAATTTCATTAGAGTCATCCATGTTAGCTTGAACAAAGTCTTTTTGATGTTCTAGGTTGGTACTAGGTTCATGTCTTCTACGTTTCTTATCAGCTCCAACAATAACCTCATTAGCGTGTAGGTGTAAGTCATTAGTAGGATCCGCAATTTCATGATTGTTATCTTGATATTTATAGTTATCATTTGTGGTAATGTTGTCATCACGAAGCCATCGTTCTCCTCCGAAGCTGGGAATTTGGCGTATATCAGCACGTAGTTCTAGGCCCCAAAGACGAATGCCATCATCGTCTTCTTGTTCAAAGAGTTTTGGGCAAAACTTGTCATTGTGACCGAGAATACCACACAAATAACAAAACTGGCCAATTTTTTCATACTTAAAAGTAACGGTCTTCCATTCTCCACCTTGTTTCTTAATTTTCTTATCTTTTTGCAGAGGGGAACGAATGTTCTTTTAATGCGAATACATAATTTCCATAAAGAAGTGTTGTGCTTGGAGTCATAGTCAAGAAAATTTGCTAAGCTATTTCCTAGATGTTCACCTATATTTTGAGACATAAAACCTGCAGGCAAATTATGAACTTGAACCCAAACATCTACATGGTTTAACGGAATATCTTTTGGAATATCACCCTCAAAGATTTTGCTTTCAATAAGGATGTTGTTTTCGAAATTCCAGAGGCCATTATCAAGGACATGTTTAAGATCTAAATGATGATAAAACTGAAATAAAAAGACACCTGGTTTAAGTTCAGAAATAGAGACACCTTTACCAGGTCGCCATATGCTAGCCATACGGTTCTTCATTATATGAGTATGAATGGGTCTGTTAGTAGGGAAATGACCCACAAGACTCAGGTTAACCAGGTTAGAGGTACCTCCGTCATCTCCATCTTTGATGATTAAGCCTTCAAGATCTTTTTCCAGGGAGCTCATAGTTTTAACGAAATCAGATATTGACTTAAGATTGTGCAGACAGAGTTTAAAAGAAACATGTAGTGATATAAATTGAAAGTAAGAGAAAACAGAAACAATCACGTGCAAAAATACAAAAATGGGTTTAAGAGAGCATGAGATGATTACTTAAAAATTAGGCTTTACGTCGAATATACAACATGTAAATATGGTGATCAGGAAAATGAAAAATTCGGAGAGAGAAAAAGAAATGGAAAAGAAAAAACGGTGACCATGATACAAAATAGACTAGACGACCCTAAAAAATAGAATGTGAACAATAAAGATCTTGGAAAATTCAAAAGTAGGAAAAGAAAGGTTTATGCAAAAATTGTCATAAAAAAGAAATCATTTAAAATGAGAGATATTTAATATGTGATGCATACAAGACTACATAAAAAGACTACAAGAAAAACGCATACATGTAGCAAAAACAAAGAAAAACATACAAGAAGATACGTAAAATCAATTGTGATGTGAAAAGGTGAAAGAAAAGAAACCCTGCAATGTTTATGAGAGGAAGAAATGATTACGGGAGAGAAAAGTAGAGAAGTGACTACGAGATTAATTGCAACATATATTGCACATCAACGACAGGTGACAAGACTCTCACGAAAGGAGAGAGAAAAAGCTCTCACAGGAAGAGAGAAAAGCTATGAAACTAATAGTTAGTTATCAACAATATTTACTATTAAAACAAACAATTCATTATGTAAGCATGCATAAATTAAATAATATATTAAAATAATGTTATGATTTGTAACTTTTTAAACCTCAAAGAGACTATGATTTTTTTTTAAAGATAAAACATACTATAATTTAAAAATCTTGAAAAACTTCAATTTTACAAATCATGCATAATTAATTTTTACAAAAAGGATTCTAGGATGATTAAGAAATGGAAAATAAATAGGACTTTTAGGCATCAAATTCTTTATCCATTATAATATCCTTCTACCCTAAATAATTTAATAATTAAAATACAATAAATTATTGATAAAAAAACATATTATAACAATTTTTTCTATAAAACTTGTAAAAAGGTTCACATTTATATCCATTACTTGTGACACTCTCTACCCCACATTCATAATTACACAAAAAATAAAAATAACTAAAATCTTTCATAAATAAAACCAGAATCTCAAATATCTTACGTAGAGGATTCACATTCATAAACTCATAAACAATATCTCCAATATGGAAATCACAAAGGAATGAAATTGAGGTTTTCAAAACAGTTCAATGGAAACAACATCTTAAACTAGTCCTAACTACGCCTCGATGTCACATATCCTATCAGAGCATGCCCAACTAAAGCCTAAGCTTCATCACCAACATCCTCATGTTGATGGTCATCTGCAATATAGTAGAAGACACACATAGAACAAACAGGAGAGTGAGAAACATCTCACTCAGGTTAAGGTGTAAAAATAACGGTCAAGCAACACACACAAATCATAACAAAGCACAACACAAAGCACACATTAATCAAGCATAACTCAAGTCATACATACATTAGTAGCACATACACATTCACTCATTATGCAATGATGCTATGGACTTAACTCATAAATGCATGTATGTGGCGCTAATCACATATCAAATATCACTAGTGTGCTGCCTAAACAACACACCTAAGGTAGTATAGGAGTACATGTAGGGAGCTATCCATACACTCTCAACTAGAAAGATGTACTGCTAGGGTTTGGTCGGGATAGCGGAGCTGCGCAAGTTACGTCTCGTGCTCACAAACGGGTAGAATCGAGACATCCAAACTGCAGTATCCCCTAGGACTCCCCCAAGCTGTTACACAAGGAGGGCCTTCCCTAACAATGTACTCCATATCGTATCCGTCACATAGATGCACATGATGCATGTCACACACTCGTACTTCATTGACTCATCATTTCACTTATCATAGTTTCTCATATATCATGTCTCATTGTCACATATCATCATGTCTCATGTCTCATATTCACTTTTCACATTGTCTCATCATATTCACATAGTCTTATACAAGGAATTTCTCATAGGCATATACATTAGAATAGCACACAAACCATAACAGGAAATTATCTAACATCATACACATTCAATTCGCAATTCATAACATATGAAGCATAAAGGTCATAAACCCAACTTCATGATTTCACGCATTCTTTTACAACTAGCCAAGTAATATAATATTTCAATACGTTAAAACACTCCAAATGTTACCCAAAACACGAATCCATCATCAATTTTATATATATTGCCTCAAAATTCATCCAAAGATCATATCTCCAATTTCACTTCATAAGGTTTCCCACAGGAACCCACATAGCACTCTAATTCATATTAAAACTTGTCTATTTTTGAAATTGAACACACATTTACATTCAGCAAACATCAAGGAACACAACTGAAAACTCAGAAGCCAAAATAGAAAATATTCAAAATTTGTCTATTTCTCATAAGGTTTCCCACAGGAACCCACATAGCACTCTAATTCATATAAAAACTTGTCTATTTTGGAAATTGACGACAAATTTACATCCAGCAAACACCAAGAAACACAACGGAAAACTCAGAAGCCAAAATAGAAAATATTCAAAATTTGTCTATTTCTCATAAGGTTTCCCATAGGAATTCATAGAGCACTCTAATCCATATCAAAACCTATCTATTCTTGAAATTGAACGCATATGCACACTCAAAATCACACAAGAAATGCAACAGAACAATCAGAAAACAAAATAGAAAACTTTCATGAAGTGTCTATTCTTATTTGGCAAGGGATTGAGGGCCAATCCTGCTACCCAATAGTTATTCCCACACTCCCGAGTGGGGTTTCTCACTCCTCCCTTACTTGGATGAGTAGAAGATGAAGTAAGGGCAGGGTCTGGTTAGTCTCATTCTCTTGGTTCTCCTTGGTCGTTAGAGAGAGTAGAAAAGAAATGAGTCAGGAGAGTGAATATGTGAAATGACTTTTGGTAACTTTTGATAACTCCATTCTTAAAATAAATAAAAATAAAAATAATAATAATAATTAATCAAATGACCATCACATCCTTCCCTTCCCTTCCATAAAATAATAAATACAATATAATATAATTAAAATACACATTTTCTTTATAATCAAATAATATAAGCATAATTATTAATAAAATACAAATCATAAAAGTTATCGATATATCACCAATCAAAATAATAATTACAAAATAGTGCTCATAAGTAGTTAAATAATATCAAAATCCTTTAATAAACACATTTAAAATATTAAAATAATTTCTAAAATATTATTATTATAAATTATGAAATCTAGGGTGTTACATTACTCAAACTATAGAAAGTATATAAGACATTGTTTTAATCAACTAAGGACAACTTCTTGAATCCATAAAACAAAATTAAATATAAATCCAACTTAAAACAACTACTAATCCTAAAACTCAATTTCAATGTCACGCTATCAAAGTAAGACCCCTCTTTATGGTTCATCTTCCTTAAATCCATCAAT